ACCCTGGGAGCAGCGCTCAACAAATAACCCTCAGATGCTGGTATATGAATACATCAGCTCCATCACCCCTCAAGCAGGATCATTTACACAGTCTCCCAGAGTTTCCCCACCGGCTTAAGCTCCAGGCACCCTCTGTGGTAACTAGGTTTACAGCGTGGCCTTCGGTGGCTGCTGTCTCATCCTCATCATTTCCCCACCTCCCTAGAGTTGCTCCCTGGACTTGCCAGATAAACCATTTGTACTTGCACCCTGTCTCAGGGTCTGCCTCCGGAAAAATCTACACTAACATAGAAAGGTAAGCTTCAATTATGTGAGCGTTCATGTATTTGAAACAAGACTTCTGCTCCAATATTGCTCAAAAATGAGGTCTAGGGCTTCCCTGGTGGCGCAGTGGTTGAGAGTCCGCCTGCCGATGCAAGGGACACGGGTTCGTGCCCCGGTCCGGGAGGATCCCACATGCCGCGGAGCGGTTGGGCCCGTGAGCCATGGCCACTGAGCCTGCGCGTCCGGAGCCTGTGCTCCGCAACGGGAGAGGCCACAACAGTGAGAGGCCCGCATATCACACACACACACAAAAAATGAGGCCTACGTAAAAAAACCACCCACCTTTTCCCTGGGTGTTCACATTCATTCACATACACACACACACACACACACACACACACACACACACACACACGTATTTCTTCCCCTTCCCTTTTTCCTTCTCTCTTTCTTCCAGCAATTCAGCTCATAGACTACTTAGGGACAACCAGGCATTTTCCCTTGAATTCTCACAGCCCCCAAATCAAACAATATTTAAAAAAAAACAGGTCCACAGCATTCAGGTTGTCTCCTAAGGCTTAGCAAACTGCCCTAAAAACCTCAAGCTCCCTTTAAAGAAAGCCTGCACAAACCTTCTCTGTGCGGAGTGTTCTTCTCCTGGCTCCGTGGATCCCGGCTTTCAGGTGTCAGCTGGATGGAGATGAGAACCCCACAGGCCCCTGTTGCTGAGCTGCTGGCTGCCTATCCAGGGGTGGTGGGGTGGGGGGAGGGAAAGACGGGCAGCAGGAAGCTGCCAGGGATGAGCGCCCTTTAGGCCTGGGTCTGGTTCAGTGCTGCGGAAGCCTGCGTGGGCCCACTTGTCCCGTCTCAGGGACACGCAGCCGGTTACCATCCCGGAGAGAGGCTCGGGCATCTGCTGGGCTATGACTCTCTTCTTCCTCTCAGGGTGGCAGCCACAGTTGCCAGCAGAACAGGCAGTCTTCACAGCCTTTCCCAAACGTGCCTGGTCCTAAGAATCACCTGGAGCACGAGCTAAGCAGACAGCTTCCAGGTGCTGGCTCTGATTCCTGATTCAGCAGCTCCAGAGTGATGCCCGGGGCTCTCCGTGATTCACACGCCCCCCAGGTGATTCTCATGGACAGGTACACTAGGGAAACAATGGAGAGGAGAGAGGCAGGGGCAGCTTCAAAGCAGATAGAACCCAGCTGGTCAGGTATGTACGTTCCCTAAGCTGACAGCCCTTATATCCAGAACGAATGGAAGTCATTGCTAGCATGGGGGCTTGCCAGGGCCTGCGACAGTTCTGAGAGCCCAGGGAGGCTCTAGTCCAAACAAGACGTGTCTAAAGTGACCCTCATGGCCCAGGTGACCTTTTAAGTGGCATTTCCTCTTAGGTTTGCTGTAGCATAATGATTCCCAGTTGACTAGGTAGTAGGAGTAAGGAGGCAGGAAGGACAGTCTATCAGAGACTGGAAAGGGTAGAGTTGAAGAGATATTCTTCATTAGGAATTGCTTTGATTTGGTTTTCATCAAAGGGAATTTATATTGAAATTTCTGGGATGTTCAAAGGGTGTGAGATCTTAATGTTTCTCAAAATGGCATACAGTGTAAAATGTTTGCAGTTGGCTGGGATAAACCAGGAGCTTCAGGTCTCATTGGCTGGGGGAAGTTCTGGAAGAGCAGGACCTCCTGACACTCGGCCCCCCCAGACCCTGCTCCTGATTTGTCCTCTCCAGCCCATCTCCCCTCCGCCATCTTTCTCAGCTCAGATCACATACCTCAACACTGTGCTCAGAGTCACTGAAAGGCTCACTGCTGCCCTGAGATAAAGGCAAACGACTGTTAGTATAAGTCTCAAGATCCCTCTTGGGCCCCACCCTAATGGTCCAACTTCTTCTCCTCACTGCTCAGTGTGTGCCCTTCGTTCTTGCACCGTCAGGCTACTGGAGTTCTCTGAGAACAGGAGGTATGATCCCACCTCTAAGCATTTGTTCTCGCTCCATTTCTCTCCCTGGAGAGCCCCAACTCATCCTTCGGATGCCATTCCACTAAGTCCCTTTCATTTGCGTGGCAGAGTAAATTGTTTCCAAAATGAGACACGTTTGTTGAGAATTCAGTGCGTGGTCTTGAGGAAAGGTGGTGGGGTCTGAGAGTCAGCTGTGCATTGGCCCAGTTCTGCCCCAGGACAGGCACTATTCGTTGGGGCATCTTTTTTCTCCTTCCTCCCTTTCTTCCTATTGAGGTAAAATATACAAAACATAAAATTTACCATTTTAAATGTATAGTTCATTGGCATCAAGTACATTCACATTGTTGTGCAACCATCACCACCAATCAACCATACAACCTTTTCGTCTTTCAAAACTGAAACTCAGGGGCTTCCCTGGTGGCGCCGAGGTTGAGAGTCCGCCTGCCGATGCAGGGGACACGGGTTTGTGCCCCTGTCTGGGAAGATCCCACATGCCGCGGAGCGGCTGGGCCCGTGAGCCATGGCCGCTGAGCCTGCGTGTCCAGAGACTGTGCTCCGCAACGGGAGAGGCCACAACAGTACCGCAAAAAACAAAACAAAACAAAACTGAAACTCAATACCCGTGAAACAATGTCTTCATACCTCCTTCTCCCAGCCCCAGACAACCACTGCTCTACTTTTTGTCTCTATGAATTTGACTACTTCTAGGACCTCATATAAGTGGAATCACATGGTATTTGTCCTTTATGTCTGGCTTATTTCTCTTAGAATAATGTTTTCAAGGTTCATCCATGTTGTAACATGTACCAGAATTTCATTCCTTTTTTAGGCTGAATAATATTCCATTGTATGTATATGCCATTCATACAATGGAATGATTTTGTTTACCTGTTTATCTACCAGTGGACATTTTGTTGTTTCCACCTTTTGGCTATTGTAGTAATGCTGCCATGAACATGGGTGTACAAATATCTGAGTCCCTGCTTTCAATTCTCTGGGGTATTATAGTTCACTGAGGAGTGGAATTGCTGGATCATATGGTAATTCTGTGTTTGATTTTTTGAGGAACCACCATACTGTTTTCCATGGCCACTATACATTCCTACCAACAATGCAGTAGTGTTTCAATTTCTCTACATCCTTGCATTTTAATTTTGATATGTTAAATAACATTTTATCTTCTTCGATTATAGCTCTTCTAATGGGTGTAAAGTGATATCTCACTGTGGTTTTAAGTTTTCCTAATGATTAGCGATGTCAGGACTTTCTTTTTTTAAACATCCATTTTACTGAAGTATAATTTATGTGCAATAGATGGTACCCATATTAAATGTACAGTTCAGTGGGTTTTGACAAATGTACACCCACGTAACAGCCATGTAACCATCCATGTAACCACCACCACAATCAAAATGCATAACATTTCTATCACCCCCTCTAGACCCTTTACAGTCGATTCTCCCCTCCACTTCCAACTCCAGGGGACCTCTGATCTGCTTTCTGTCACTATAGATTAGTTACACTTTCTAGAATTCCATGTAAATAGGATCATGCAATATATACTCTTCTCTTTCGGCTTCTTTCATTCAGCAAAATATGTTTGAGATTCATCCACGTTGGCGAGTATATCACTAGTTTGTTCCTTCTTATTGCCAAGTAGTATCCCATTCTATGGATACATCACAATTTGTTTATCCATTCATCTATTGATAGACCTTTGGGTTGTTTCCAGTTTTAAGGCTGCTATGAAAGAAGCTATTATAAACATTCTTGTTTAAGTCTTTGTGTGGAATATGTTTTCATTTTTCTTGAGCAACTACCTAGGAGTAGGATTGCAAGGTCATACGGTAGGTGCGTGTTTAACTTTATTAAGAAACTGCTAAACTTTTTCCCAAAGAGATTGTGCCATTTTATATACATTTGCCACCAGCAAAATGTAGGAGAGTTTCAGCTGCTGCATACCCTTGTCAGGGCGTCCTTCTTTCCATCTGAACATTTCTCTGACGTCCTCTGACTGAGTTCAGAGGGCCACCAGTGATGGATCCTAAACTATGCCTATACGCATCAGGGGCAAATATAAAGGGAAAGGACACAGTGGAGAGGAAAGATGTACACAGCATTATCTGTGTAAGTCTGTATGTATCTCAGAATACGGAGAGTGCTGGGAACTGCAACCTGATGTCACTGGGCAACAATTTATAAAGAAAAGACCTGTCCCATCAAGTCCCAGTATATGGCCAAATCTTATCTCCACACCTATAAAACAGGTTCCAACCTGTTAAGTGCATAGCTAGACTCCACGAACTATAGCCTAGTCATGAAGTATCACCAAGTACTACCTCTCTTTTCCTATCAGAGAGAACTGCTTCATTCTTCTGGTTACTACCTGCCACCAGTGGGACTAAATGCGGTTAGGCCAAGAAATGTTAAATGTCTAAATAATTCCATATGCATATTTAAAGTATTTGAAAATTCTAGTTAAAAGGTTATATATATTTTTTTACATCTGAATGAGGCTACTGATAGCATCTGAGGCAGTTTTATCTTAAGAAAATAAAGTTATTTATTAAAATAAGCAAAATGGCAACTGAAATTAAGTTAAATGGGAAGCAGAAGCCAGTATCACTCCTGACATTTTCTTCATAAATCTCTCTTAAGGGTCACTTTGCAAGCATGACTTCTCTGATTTTAAAAATCCAAAGATTAAAATCAGTACTGAAAAAAAAAAAATCAGTACTGAAACACTAAAAATAATCTCAAAAAACGTGTTGACACAGAAGGGTAAAAACCATACTTAATCACACGCTTTTCCTGAAGTGGCTTGTTGGTACCTCAGCACGCTTACTGGAGGAAGTCAGGTATTTAAGAGCATATCTTCAGTTGAAATGCTGCTCTTCCTTGGTAGGACCTGAAGCGTTATATTTCATGTTCCCTTAAACATTCCCCTAGGGTCAGCATTCATCTTTTCCTCGTTTCATGTATGACAGTGGTAAGACACACGCTGATGGAGCTGAGTCTAGGACCCAGGCCTTTGAGATATTTTTATAATCCTTCTGTTGACATTAAAAAACATTTAAACAACTGAAAACCCTCAGAAATCATGGCTATGTTGTTATAAAAGTACAGGACTTGGATATTAAGCCATTTCTTTAAGGATCATTATTATAACGAGCTTTTGGACATTCAGCACAGCAGATTACAATCACGGCCTCTATTCTTCATCGTTCCCTATAGTTACGCCTTTGCCACGTGATGCTGAAACTCCTCTCACTAAAGAAGCAGTGCATATTTCTCCATCCCCTTGAGTCTAGGATGGCCTTGTGTCTTGCTTTGGATGTGACTATTGTGTGGATGTACCAGTTCCGATCCTAGACCTCGAGATATTCTTCGTGTTCTCTTGCTCCTCCAACATTGCCATGAGAATGTGCCAGGACCATCATGCTTGAAGAAGAGAGACAGTGGAGCACATTAACTCACCCCAGTCAACCCAGTTGAGGCCTTCCTGCATCAGCTAAGAGATGCCCAGACATGTCAGCAGAACTATCTGAGTACCCCAGAGCATGAGCAATAAATGTTTATTATTATGTGCCTCTGGGATCTTGTGTGGTTTGTTACGCACCAGTACCTGACTGATACCTCTAAATCAACAGGAGTTTTTAAAACCCACAGACACAATTTAAAAATAAAATGGCCTCTTGGGACTTTCCTGGTGGCGCAGTGGTTAAGAATCCTCCTGCCAATGCAGGGGACATGGGTTCGATCCCTGGTCTGGGAAGATCCCACATGCCACGGAGCAACTAAGCCCATGCGCCACAACTACTGAGCCTGTGCTCTAGAGCCTGCAAGCCACAACTACTGAGCCCACGCGCCGCAACTACTGAGCCTACATGCCGCAACTACTGAAGCCCGTGCGCTCTAGGGCTCACATGCTGCAACTACTGACGCCTGTGCACCTAGAACCTGTGCTCCGCAACAAGAGAAGCCACTGCAATGAGAAGCCCACGCACTGCAACGAAGAGTAGCCTCCATTCGCTGCAACTAGAGAAAGACTGTGTGCAGCAACGAAGACCCAACACAGCCAAAATAAATAAATAAATAATTTAAAAAAATAAAATGGCCTCTTGTATACTCTCCTTTTGCCCCCTAAAACAGAGAATGGGTTTCTAAATTATTTTGTAAATATATCCAACACCACACTTAAGAAGCTGTTAACTGTGGTTACCTCTGAGGAAACGACAGGGGTTTGAGGGGAATTTTCCCTGGACCTCCTCTTGTTCTTTGGAAATTTGAACTACATGAGTGTTACCTATTCAAAAAAATGCACTAAAAATCCTACGTGAACACAGAGCATTATCTCTACAGGAAGAGGCACCCATTTCTGTACATACAGGCAAAGTCAATGACAGGGAAAATTATTTGTAAGGCTAAATCTTTTAACGGATACAGTCAGATATTTAGAGCCAATTATCTAGGGGGAAATATCTAGAGAATCTTGACATTCCAATAACTCTGCAGATAGATGTGCTAAGCTACAGTATAATTCTGAAAAACTTTAGCATTTTAACAGCTACACTGGGGTTTCCTGCTTGCTGACCACAAAATATACTAGGTCAAAGATTTCTTTTAACCACTAGTTCTGTTTGTTTGATTATCTGATTTTTCTTTTGTTTTAATGTGGATTGCTTTTTTGCTAGAGAAGTAGTACACACTCAGGAAAGAGGAAATCCATAAAAGGAAAAAAGTAGCCCAACTCTCCAAACACAAGTTTAAATGTTTGGTCATCCGCTTTTGCTAATAGATCTCACATGAATCTGTTTTTTTCCTCCCATAGTGCTGGTTTCATACTGCATGTACATCACTGCATCTTGCTTTTTAAAAAATGAAGTATTATAAGCACTTCTCAGTGCCATTATATACAATTAATACATGTTATTTTAAATGGGTGTAATAGTCTTGGGAAAGCAGTCCTCTGGGGTTCAGCATCTAGAAGGTTTCCAGCCTTAACTGATATGCAAATAAGGATGCTATTAAAAACTAGAAGTCTATTATTTTTTTGTTACTTAAAATTATTTCTTAAGGATAGCTTCCCAGAAGCATACACCTGGGTCCAAGGTTGTGTACATTTTAAGGGTGATGACATTTTGTCAAATTGCTCTCCTAAAGCATGTCCATCAGAATTCTCTTACTCTTGCTGGTATTTATATTATCCTTCTTTCCATGCTTCCTTTTATGGCTGTTTATGGCTATCATAGAAAAAAAAAATCACTGCTAATTAGATAGGTGTCAGTGCTATCTCGTTTAAATTGTAGCTATTTGATTATTGATGAGACCCAACATTTTTCCCATACAAATTATAGTTCCTCTTTCACCATTTAGTATTTTTTTTATCAACTTGTAAGAGGGCTTCTATAATGGAGAATTTACCCCAGATTTATTGTATATGCCACAAATATACATTCTCAGAGTCGGCTTCCTAAATCTTTGTTTTCTCCTTTCTTCTTTGTTTTTCGTGACAGTCACGACTCCCCTCAGGATGACTCCTGGGCTGACTCATTTGCCTGAGGGTTTCCGAAGCTGCTCATTCCAGCACCATCAAGATTGAAGCTCCTGATGCTGACTAGCACCCTTAGCATGTCCCTGAGGTCACCATTTTTCAGCCAGACCCAGAGATAAGAAACATATGCACATCTGCTTTCTGGTAGCCAGGCGCTGCTGCTATCTGTGCGGCACTATCTTTACAAAGGAGAGTCGGGAGTCCGGAGTCGACACTCTAAACGCCCAGGCTCTTATGAGATGGTTTTATGTATGAGATTAGAAACTTTTAAGCTATCTTTCCTCTTAGAAAAAAGCCCACGAGGAATGAAAATATACAGCAAGATAGATATCACCTAAGGCAAATTTTGATTAAGCACTTATCCTACTGCTACATTAAAAATTGCCCCAGAGAGTGATTTTAAGGATATGAGAATTGAATTTTCTGAATGTCTGGACCTCTGAGCTGGCCCAGTTTTGCCTCAGGGTCATGTCTCAGGGCCCTGCTACTTAAAGTGTTCCAAGGACTGGCAATGTCAACATGGCCTGGGAACGTGTTAGACTCACAGCCCCATCCTAGACCTACTGCATCAGTCTGGAGTCGATCAAGACGCCCAGGTAATCTGAATGCATGTTAAATTTGAGAGGCACTCTTAAAGCAGTGTTATCAACTCTGGCGTACACATCAGAATCTCATAAAGGGCTTGAATACAATATGGATGTCCAGGCCCAGCCCCCAAAGATTCTGATTCAGAGAGCAGGGACTGGGCATTAGAATTGTTTAGAAGCTCTCCCGTAATTCTATGTGCAGCCAGAGATGAGAACTGACTTAAAGTTTCTAAAAGTTCCTTCTAACAAGGCAGAATTGATAAACTCTCTAAAATTTGAAGTCTTCAAATTTCATGCTTCTTAACCATTACATTTTATGTTTAAACCCCAAAATCAGTTCCTGGAGGAGAGAGAAACACTGAAAAAAAATTTTTTTTCTTTTACTTTGTTTTGGCCAGTTCCAAGAGTAACTAGGTATCTCATGATAAGAAATGAAACATCAAAAACACACAAAACAGGGACTTCCCTGGTGGTCCAGTGGTTAAGACTCTGCACTTCCATTGCAGGGGGCATGGGTTCAATCCCTGGTTGGGGAACTAAGATCCTGCATGCCACGGCATGACCAAAAAGAAAAAAGTAAAGATTTGGGGCTTCCCTGGCGGTCCAATGGTTAAGACGCCGTGCTTCCACTGCAGGGGGCACGGGTTCGATCCCTGGTCTGGGAACTAAGATCCCGCAGGCTGCAGAGCCAAAAAACAGAAACAAAACAAAAACCACATACACACACAAAACAACTGAAGTTCTGCTATTCAATGAGTCTCAGTATTGACAATCCCCGCCTTAGTCGTGTTCTCACTCCCCAGCATGGGTCGCACAGCAGCACACTAAAATGGCCCAATTCTGTGGTTATTAAGATGAGCAAAACAGCCTGACTGGCTCTGCCACCCACCCCGACATCTTCAGCCTACTATAAGTGCAGCTTTCAAAGCTAACTCTCTAGTGTTCATGAATCCTTTCCTGACGTGATGACCAGCCAGCTGGGTAGAAACGTACTATGTTATCGGAATTCAAGATGCTGCTGAATCTGACGTCTAGTTTTGTGTTTCCAGAAGACCAATGTGCAGTTCCCATGACAAGAAGCATGGCGTTTGCTGTTCTCTTAATAGAGATGCCACCACCGGTGGGTCATAGCAGCTGGCTGGAAACCAGGCCTCATGCAAAACTTTCCATTCACCAGGCCATACCGGACCTGCTGCCTGAAATCAACTTCTGTTGCTCCAAGATAATGATCCCCTCAGCTGTGAGGCTGCCAGAAACCCAATATGGTGGCCCGTAGCTGTGAACCAACTGTTTACCTCTTTGTGCTTTATAACATGACCAGTTTCCATGTCTTCTTGAAGGTGACAATGTTGAGAAATCCTGCGTAAGACCAGTGTTCTCAAATTTTCTTGAGACTACACTTAAAAATGATTGAGAACACCTCAATACACTTAAAAATTATGAGGACCCCAAAGAGTTTTTGTTTATGCAGGTTATATCCAGTGGTGTGCTGGAGTCAGTTTGTACCAGCTCACGAGAATTCAATATTCAGGAATTTCTCAAGCCAACTGTTAAACCATCAGAAGCTTGAAATTGGCAGCAGAGGGAATATTTACACCGTGGAAATTGGCAAATGCTACATACCAGAGCCTTTTTTCTTTTTCTGGAGATTGGGTTTAGCAGCAACCCCCTGCTTCTATTTACCATATTAGACATTAAAATGGAGAATTTTTGAAAATATTTCTTTCAGTTAAAAATAACAATAGGGCTTCCCTGGTGGCGCAGTGGTTGAGAGTCTGCCTGCTGATGTGGGGGACACGCGTTCGAGCCCTGGTCTGGGAAGATCCCACATGCCGCGGAGCAACTGGGCCCGTGAGCCACAACTACTGAGCCTGTGGGTCTAGAGCCTGTGCTCCGCAACGGGAGAGGCCGCAACAGTGAGAGGCCCGCGCACCACAATGAAGAGCGGCCCCCGCTCGCCACAACTAGAGAAAGCCCTCGCACAGAAACGAAGACCCAACACAGCCATCAATAAATAAATTAATAAAAAAATAAAATAAAATAACAATAAACCCATTACTCAGCCATAAAAATGAATGAAATCATGCCATTTGCAGCAACATGGATGAACCTAGAGATTATCATACCAAGTGAAGTCGGACAAAGACAAATATATGATATCACTTACATGTGGAATCTAAAAAAAATGATACAAATGAACTTCTTTACAAAACAGAAACAGACTCACAGACATAGAAAACAAACTTGTGGTTACCAAAGGGGAAGGAAGTTGGCAGGGTACAAATTAGGAGTTTGGGATTAGCAGATACAAGCTATTATACATAAAATAAATAACAAGGTCCTACTGTATAGCACAAGAAACTATATTCAATATCTTGTAATAACCTCTAATGGAAAAAATCTGAAAAAGAATATAGTAATATAAATATATGTATCAATATAACTGAATCATTTTGCTGTACACCAGAAATTAACACAACATTGTTAATCAACTATACTTCAATAAAAAAATAATTAAAAGAATAATGAAAAATCCATTACATGTTAACATAAATACTATATTTTTCACAAAGAAAAATTTCCCCCAAAACAGTGATTTCGTGAAGAGAGTTACCTTGGTTTTTATTTTGGCAAATCTCTTTAATGGCTGGCTAAATGGAAGAGTCAGATTTTCATATCTGCTCCTGCATTCAGTCTGCTGTGCTACCACGTCACCCGGCCTCTGGAAAACGCAGTTGTATACTCGTGAGAGAATCAGACCAAAACACTATCTTAGTCTTAGGAGAGTTCTGACCCCGTGCATCTCCTGAAAGGGTCTCAAGGACTCTGGGGATCATGGAATTGGAGCATTTCTCGTCTCTGCTCAGATCACAGCTTCCTTAACTGCACCTTCTCCACAAATCACACTCAGCTCATCCTGCGGTTCATTATTCTCCGTGCACATTTGGTCTAGCAATTTTCAAAGGAACAGCCACACAGCTGTGCCGGTTCTGCCAGGAAACTACCGTTGGTGACTTTCCCAGTAAATTTCATTATGGCACCTAGGTGAGAAGCTACTAGCGGAAGGTCCAGGCCTCAGGAAAAAAGCTTCATCATAAACGTTGCTTAAGTTTTTCCATTTGCTCTCAGAGCTCAAGACTTCCTGAAGGACATGCCGACATTTCTCTTAACTTCTTAAATTCAAAAGTATAACTCCAAATTTTCCATGTGTGTATTTAACAGTCAAGAATTCCATTTCCTTTAAAATCCTATTTTTGACTTGGTGGAAAAAACATGCTTTTTTGTGTTAAGAAAATTTGTTTCTTGATTTCAAACATATTTTGAAAAATAACAACAAAAGAGCTTAAAGGTCACTTTCTGTTTCGAGTGGGAATCCTATTTTTCTGGTGGTCATGAGCTGGGCTGACTTCATTCAATACATCCATTTCTGAAATGCTGTGGAGACTCCAGGCCTCAGAAACTTAAGATTGTGTGTTAACTTAAAAATTCTGTGTGCTAACAGAATTCTTGTTCCGTTGAAATAACTCTTCTGCTGACTATGAATTTAGAACATTATCAGAATTTTGGGTTGCTTTTCAGCTCTCAGAGGTACTTGTAACTTTGCTTTTAATTCCCCATCCTCCCTCTGCCCCAGGTAGTGTTAGATGGCAAAGAACTGTCACTCAAGGGTGGCCCTTCCTTGAGTTTCGACATATGTATCCTCTGACATTTAATTTGCTTCTCTCTTCACTAGGAAAGAACTGCAGAGTCAGAGATATAGAAAACAAACGTATGGTCACCAGAGGACGTGGGGGAGGAGGGATGAATTGGGAGATTGGGATGGACATATACACACTACTATATAAAATAGGTAACTATGGGCTTCCCTGGTGGCGCAGTGGTTGAGAGTCTGCCTGCCGATGCAGGGGACGCGGGTTCGTGCCCTGGTTCAGGAAGATCCCACATGCCGTGGGGCGACTGGGCCCGTGAGCCATGGCTGCTGAGCCTGCGCATCGGAGCCTGTGCTCCGCAATGGGAGAGGCCACAACAGTGAGAGGCCCGCGTACCGCAAAAAAAAAAAAAAAAGGTAACTAATAAGGACCTACTGTATAGCACAGGGAACTCTACTCAATACTTTGTAATGGCCTATATGGGAAAAGAATCTAAAAAAGATAGGAACTTCCCTGGCAGTCCAGTGGTTAAGACTGTGGGCTTCCACTGCAGTGGGCACAGGTTCGAGCCCTGGCCGGGGAACTAAGGATCCCCCATGCCGCACAGTGTGGCTAAAAAAAATTTAAAAATAAATAAATAAAGAGTAGATATATGTATATGTATAACTGATTCACTTTGCTGTATACCTGAAACAAACACAACATTGTAAATCAACTACTCTCCAATAAAAAACAAACAAACAAAACAACTGCAGACTCTATCCACGATGCTCATAACCCAGGAATCTGAGCATGTTCTCAGTGACATAACCTTGAATTTTCCTAAGAACGGATTGAAAAAAAAAGACACAGAGATCTAATCACCCAATGCCTTTGGTAGATTGTGCCTTTTTTTTTCTTCGAGTTTCATTCTCTGTGCCCCAAGAAGCTGACCTTTATGGGCTCCATCACCCAGGTTCCCTTGACCTCTGGGGTAAGTTAAAATCAGGAGCAATGGGGAGGCATCAGCAAGAGATCAGAGGGTGGGGGGAGCGGAGGTCTGTGTATTCCCTCCTCCACTCGTTTTAGGCCTGGGGTGGTAACAGCTTTCCCTAATTGCTAGGCCCTGGGGTGCTTCACCAGCTCTTGTTGGTTCCCTTAACCCTGGCCATGCCTCTGCAAATCACCTCTTCATTAACCGCTGTTCAGCTAAATCCTTAGACTGGCCTTCCTGACAGGCTCTAAAGATACAATAAAATCTTATTCCAAACAGATACCAAGCAAACTTTCAGGTTTATTAATAGAGGTTACATACATTTTTTTAAAAAAAGAACATAAAAACAGTGATGTAATATTTTATTATAAGTACATACTGATAATACAGTAATGAGTCTTATTAAGTCAGAGGTATTTTAATATAAACAGAATGAATGAACAATGACAGTATATCTCCACTAAGTTGGATAAAATGAATATCGTAACTAAATTAATAAAAACAATGTTAGCTTCTACTTACAAGACATACTTTTATGTAAATCGTTCTATGGCATTTGGAAACAATTTGCTCTTTTAAATAGGTAAGTACTTGCCTTACAAGTTTCTACTCTTTTTGTTTGTTTAAAACGCCAACATTTTTTCATAAGGAAAAAAAGATATAATTCAACCTAATTTTCAAATTATTTTCTCAAATACATGAGGATATTCTGTACTTGATACTCATCATAGCTGGTAAAATCATCTCATTAACTCTTAAGAAAAGTGAATGGAAAATAGAGAATAATTTTCCTGGATTTCAAAGTCAATTCCATTTTCTTCTGCCATTTCTAATCCGACTAACATAATTAATGTTTTAACAATCTGACTTGAGTAATTTATTGAACAAAACATTTGTAAATAGGGCCCAATTAAGACAGACTGAAGGACTTAATCTTTTTTTATCCTTAGTTGTCATTTTGGTTTATTTTTTTCAATCTCTTTTATGTAAAACTTTGTTTGCATGTTGATACATAGATTGGCGATCATATTATGTACAGAATTTATAATTTTTATCTTGCTTGAATAACATTGTAATAAAACATTTCATATTCTGTTACTGAAGTAGTTATTTTTAAAAACACGCTTCCTGTACTATATTATGTTTATCTCAAGTTATAACCACAGGAAGAAGTAACCCAAATGTTCAAAGTTCTTTACCTGCCAGGATTATGTGGAACTTGCTTGGTGACATCTGGCTAAAAGCACTTCTTTACCTAATGATGTGTTTCTTTCCCACGTCCCACTCTGTGTATCGGCCCACTTTGTTATTCTTGAGAGCAGGTTTCAGTCTGACTCAACTCTATTTGCCCAGCACCCATTAGAGTGCTTAGAGCACACGATGGGTGTCCATGTTTGCTATATAGGTGTTTCCACCTGGGAATGGTCCTTGCAGCATAACTGCTAGAAGTGAACGTGCCTTCTTTCTCCATTCTTAAAATGGGCAGTCTTTTATATCCATTATCTCTTGGGATAGCACATCCTACTTCACCAACTTCTAATAAACATGATAAGCGCACGGCCAATCCTTGAGGGAATCCCAGCAGGAGATAGCAAACACGGTGGTCCTGATCGCTCTGAACTGGCCCCGTCTTGTATCTACTGCTTGGAGTCCTTCATTTGGGGGCACGGTGCTTTGAAAGCCAGCCTCAGGTCACTGGTGGGACCTCTGCTCATTCTTAGTTTACACACACGGCGTGTAAAACAGCAAAAATGCTACCCATATTATCTGTTCTAATAATTTTTAGAATTCAAACTTTGATACATTTAACATGAAAAACAGCTGAACTTTCTCTACACACAGATAGTACTAAGTCTCATCCCTCAATAACTTAAACATTGCTGTTGGACAATTTCAAAACACTTATTGGCAAAAGTTGTATAAGTACAAACTGTAGAATCCCTCACTATTGATGGACTTCTTCAGATGTTCAGGGCTAAACTCTAGCCTAAACTTTGCATATGGAATCAGAGAATCAGAGTTTACTTCCATAATCTCTGGTGAAAAAAAGAGAGGGTTTCAAAGTGCCTATTCTATACTGCACTGCAAATGATACAAGTATATGTGTATAAGTACACATATACACACACATATATCTAAAATACATCACGTAAATTTACGAAAAAAGTGACATTTCAGTTCTTGTTGTAACACTCTCTTGTAATAACATTGTTTTCTATTCCTGTTATTTTTTTTTCCTGTAACTAACAAATATATATGCTTAATGGCTCTCATAAGGAGGCATGCACATCATACATTTGTTGTTTTAGATGGTAAAGTAAATACTTTTTGTCAGGGACTAAGTAGAATCCTCAGGTTATTTGCTTTTTTAACATTTTCTTTTTAACTCACTGTCGGTCCCTTTTCCTAAGTTAACAGCTTTTTGTACACGCTGCTATTCAGGTTACTAGAGCAGGTGTCCATTTTACTTGCCATCAACTGACCGCTGCTGTTATAACTGCTGGGATCTGAACTTTCTTTGCAGCATAAGATACTGTAGAGGTACCTCTGGCACTCAGAGGAAGCATAGTAGTAAATCAAGGGGTCAACGCAACAGCTTATGCTGCTGACACAGACACACAGGAGGTAGGCAAAGTAGGCAGCCTCTGTCATGGAATTATGGGAAAGGAATGCGTAATGTAGAATCAGCAGGATGTTTGTGGGTCCAAAGCAAAGGACGAAGATGCAGAAAACAGCAGCTGACAAGAACAAAGCCCGGGACTTCTTGCTCTGGTTGGCAACCGTGGAAGAGCTAAGAGATCGGATGATAGACACGTAACAGACTGTGGAAATGATCAACGGCACAAAAAAGAAGATGGCAGAGAAGGCCGAGAAGTAATATGAGTAGTAGCCTTCGAGCAGCGTTTGGTTGAGCACATCGTGACAGGTGGTTATGTTGAGCCCCGGGACCTGGGTGGTCTGCTCCTTGAGAAGCAGAGGTACCACCCCCGCGATGGCCATGGCCCAGATGGCCAGACAGGTAAAGGAAGCCCTCCCCAGAGTACGCCAGGAGAGCGACTGCATGGGGTATACCACAGCCAGGAACCGGTCAATGCTGATGACCGTCATGAGCATGATAGAGGCATACATGTTACAGTAGAACGCAGCGGTGATGAAGCGGCACATGGCAGACCCGAATCTCCAGTCACTTCCGGAAAAGTAGTAGCTGATCTTAAACGGGAGCACAGACACAAAGAGCACGTCTGCCATGGCCAGGTGCAGCATGTACACCACGGCGGGCTTCTTGATCTTCATCTTCAAGGTGAACACGACGATGGCCATGATGTTCAGAGGAAGGCTGACGAGGAACACGCCGGTGTAGACGGAGGGGATAAAGAGCGTCAACCAGGTGCTGGTCAGATATCCTGAGGCATCTTTTGAGATGAACTCGGGGGGTGATTTTTGAGGAGGACTGCTTCTGTTGCCGGAGCTTAATCTGTCTTCTGTGAATTCACTTTCATTTTGGTCCTCATCCTCCTTCAGTGGGATTGGTTCAAATACATCATTGGGATTCCTGAGAAAAAATGTCCGGGGACCCAGAGTATCATTTGTTGCTTCTGACTCTGAAAAGTAAAAATTTTAAAACGAATTACAAAGGCAAAAGAGACAAGGAGAGGGTACACTTTACTTTTGCTTTTTGTTTTCTTCCTGGGAGAGTGGGTGGTAAGGAGCAGGTGATACTCAAGGGGATCACAGACTTTAGGAGCAGGTGATACCCAAGGGGACCACAGACTTTATCAGGGAATTAGCTAACTCGAAGTAGTGTACCACATTTTGTTCTGACACAGCAAACCCTTTTCAGACTCTGCTCCTCAGAGATATGAGG